CATGGGCTGACATTTCAGATAGAACCATCCTGGCAAGGAGGAAAATCCAAACCTAAATCATATGGTGATTAATTTGTGATGCCTTCTAATAAATCATTCAAAGACAGGGGATGAGCCCTTCAAAGACAGGGGATGAGCCCTGATAAAATAAAAGAATAGACTCACTGGATCAACAATACCAGCATGTAAGCAAAGTTGAGAGTTTATCTACTTATTTCTAACTCATTCTTACAATAAGATTACCTGAAAGCTAAGGTGTTTCTACTTGGTGGAGATCATGCATTTCACAATGCTTCTCCATTTGAGTAGAGACAAATAAACAAAGCAACAACAGACAATGCCTCTCCAATCCAAAACCTGTAATACAGAGTTAGAGAGAGAGAGAGAGAGAGAGAGAGAGAGAGAGAGAGAGAGACAGAAAGACAGACAGACAGAGAGAGAGAGACAGAAAGACAGACAGACAGACAGAGAGAGAGAGAGAGAGACAGAAACAGAGACAGAGACAGAGAGATAGAGTCTTGCTGATTTCTTTAGTTGTTTACCTTCTGACTTTGACTGCTTGTCAGTTTATAGTGGTAATTCTACTTTCAGGATCAAGAATCTGGACCCTCTTACTAGTACACCTCAGTTTCCGTGCACTAACCCAGAACTGAACAGACAGGCAGATGACATGGAATCCCAAATCCCTTAGGAATGAAGAATGAACTAAGAAGCAAGGTTTCTTTAAATTTAGGAATTTAAGAAGGTTTGATTTATTTATTTTTTTACTCTGTTAATCTACATCATTTTTTACTCTAATCAACTCATACCAGAATGGACACAAATTCTCATCCACTTGCCTGTTCTAACAGAACTCCTTGAACCAGAAAATCAGCATACCTGTATCCTGTGGGTTCCCTGGCCTACCACTTGCTTAACTATATACATGTATATTTTTGGCTTTTATTTCTACATTAACGATCCTTTGTGCAAATTGTAATGCTGCACTGGGTTCCAGGAAGGCAGTGGTTTGACTCCATGAGGGACTCAATTAATTTCTTGAATCAATTAATTTCTTATTTCACCATGATTTCTCCTATTTGTTAATTAGATATCTGATTTAGAGAAGATTCTGAATCCAATCTCTTGGGACCACCAGTGTTAAGTCTGTTTGGACTCCTTGGTAGCATTCCTGGTTAATTCTTTTTTCACTATACCTATCCCCGATGAGTCTTCTGATTCCCTTATTCAGGTGTAATTTTTTCTCAGAATGAATCCCAGTATGCAATATATTATTTACCTGTTTGTTGTATATATAGATTACTGTCATTTCCTCTAGTTGGAGCCAAGACTTCTCAAGAAGACTTAGTCTTTTGTTTACAAGTTTACCCTAATTTTCTATAACAGTCCTGTTACACAGCAGTTAATAAATATATTTATAGTACATAAATTGTTCAGGAAAGCTCTGCCTTGATCACTGGAGTCCATGGTTTCTGTGACAATGGTCAGAAACTGAGTTTCCCATGTTATCAGTATGGTGAAAATACCAAATCTATTTGTATATAATGAGGAAGCAGAAGAGCTAGGGAATTGAAAACCACAAAATATCTTCCTCTTATTTCCCCCTCCATCACCCCATAGACAGACTCTGCAGAAAGCTCATATGATAGAATTGCAGCCTTGGATCTCTGGGAAGAGTAGTGTTTAAACCATGAGTTCTACGTCAGATTGCCTGAGCTCAAGCCATAATTCTAGCTCTTGCCATTGAGTGACCCTGGAACTCTTTGTTCTTCTATTCCTTATCTGTATATTGAAGGTACAAGAGTGTTTGTGTTGATTACAATGATCACATGAGATAAGAGCTGATATATGTTTTTAACAATGTCTGGCCAAGGATAAATGTTCAATAAATTCAAAAGTTTTTACCTAGTAGATTTCTGAAGGTGTGGAGGCTTCTATCAACATTATATAGGATATAGATACTGATATGGAGATGGGTCTTCATACAATTACAGATTGTTCTAGGCATTTTTGTTACTATAATCCATACTTGAGAGAAGTCAATTTATAGAGAGAAAAAGACTGTTATGACTCATAATTTTAAAGGTATTGGTTGTCTCCATTGAATTCTAGCCCACAGGAGGCTGGAAATCTTGCTGAGGAGTGCATGGTCAAGAAAGGCGGTTGGCCCCATGGCACACCAAATGATCTAAGAAGTCTTACTTGGCCCTTCTTTTTAAAGGACCCACAAAATTTGCATAATGCCACTAGGGACAAAGCGACTAACATGGGCCTTTAGAGCACATTATAGATCCAAACGGTAGCATGAATGTGGATGGTTTAGTCAGGAGCCTTTGTATTTTTCACTCCAATCCTCCTTCTACCTCATCACTATCCTTCAGGGGGAAAGGAACTCCAAGGCAGCAATGCACACATGTTCTTCTCTCAGGGAAACTTAATTTCATCAAGAGAGAGATTTGCAAACTACAAGGGCCTGCGGGAAGTTACAAAGCCAGGAAGAGAAGCAGAAAAGGAAGAAAGATGGCTAGGGGCTGGGGATTTAGCTCAGCGGCATAAGCACCTGCCTTGCAAGCAGGCGGTCGTGAGTTCGATCCCCAGTACCGATAAAAATGAAAAAGCAAAAAAAAAAAAAAAAAAAAAAAAGAAAGATGGCTAGGTTCAGGGGAAATGAAACTCCCATCTGCTATGAATTTCTGAGAAATAATTTGAAAGGATGAATGAGCACAGCTTTTTTAATAGCCTGTGTGAGTGTATGGGTGTATACACTCAAAGTTAACTGTGTATGTGTGTGTATGTGTGTGCAGTGTGTATGTGTATACTCATGCATCCACAAACAAATATAGAAATGTGGCTGCAATAATAATTTATAACGTTGCTTTGAGGAATAAGTGAAATTACAATGCATTTGAAAAGTTCAAGGAAGTTTTTACAGATAGTACCCAACATACCACTGACAACAATTTGAATATATACACTTCAACTGTAGTTATCTCATAGAGGTGTGGGAGTAAGGTTTATTACTCTGGTCACTTCTGTGTTTTCCCTGGGTATTTTCCCCAGTAGTTAGTCTCTACTGAAAGGCTGAGTAGTACTGGATGGTTATTAGTAAGAAATTTGAGAGACTGGGATCTACATTAGTGGTAGCTCGTGTGATTTTTATGAAGGAGGTTTTGGATTCAAGCACCATCTCCAAAAGAAGAAAGAAACAAAAGAGGTGACAGAGACAGAGATAGGGTTGGGGGCTGGCTTGCCTGGTTTGAATAATTCTCTCTACTCCACTGCTGTATGTAGGTGACTGGGAGAACTTTGCACTGTACCTCTGTTTCCTCATTCCTCATCTTAAAGTAGTAAATAAAGGAACTAGCTACCATGTAAAAATATCTCAGGGATACAGCAAGTCAAGGATTGAAGAAGTCAGTTGTACAAAATTCTGAGAACTATGCCTGCCTTACTAACTGAGAGGCCTCAATTAATGAAATACCATTAGTGTTTGGGAATAATTTAAAAAGTTAGACTTCAGCTGTCTAGTTAATTTTCTCCTTTCTGGGACAAAATACTCAGAAAGTTACATTAATGGAGACAGGTTTATTTCAGCTCACAATTCATAGAAGTTTCAGTTCATAGTCAACTATCTCCAAGGTAGGGTAGCTCGGCAGAAGAGAAATCCACAGCAAGGCAGCCAGAAAGGCAGCACGCAGCAGCAGCAGCAGCACCACCAGCAGCAGCAGGACCAGCATTAGCAGCACCAGCACCAGCAGCACCAGCAGTAAGCCTGCCTTCCCACTCTCTCTTTATATTTCTGTAAATTGATGCCATCCTCATCAAGATCAATGCTAATTCCAACCAGGAAACTTATTTAGCATCATACATTCTCAATCCCAGTATCACATAACCTAGACCCAGCCAATTCACAGGAAAATGGTGGACAGATGAGCATCAGAGAAAGAACCTCTCCAAGTTTGGTGTCCAATCCTGGAATATAGCAACATAATGAAGAGAAGAAGAGGTGTGAGTCCCCTGTATACAGGAAGAATCTGAACTGAGACTGGAGGTCCATGGAGAGAAAGATTTCAGGAATCCAGCAAAAATAAGTAACCAGCGATGGCAGCCTTGATGGTTAGGGAGAAACAACAGGGAAGTCATTCAGTCCCCACATCCTGTGTGCCATTTGGGGCCCTGCTGACAGACAGAAGGTAGATGTGTGTAAGACACATGCAGAAGATTCTGAGCTCTGAGATGAAACCTACTGTGCCAACACCTTGATCTTGGACTTCTAGCTTCCAGATGTGAGAGGAAATGAACGTTTATTGTTTTAGCCACCCAACCCATGCTACTGTCCTATGGCAGCCCCAGAAGAAGAAAACAGATCTCATTAGGAATAAAATGTGGAACTAATTAATGGAAGGACTATGGAAGAATGCATAAGACACAGATCATGGAGGAGAAATGAACAGCATGGACACAGAAACCCTACTAAGGACAGACAGTAGGTGAGAATCTCCTTGAACAATAGCCCCTGCTTGCCTCAAATAGACTCCATGTCAGACTTCTCATTTTTGAGTGGTGAGCAGGGAGTAAATTGGATTATGGCCATGTTGCCTGTTAGCTATGCTAGAGTTCAACTAACCACCTTGGGAGCCTTTGCTTCACCCCTTAGAGCATCAAGACTTTCAGAGATTTAATAATAATAATAATAATTAATAATAATAATATTTAATAATAATAGTAATGATCTTCCTGGAAAAATATTTTATCACCTAAATATTATAAAATGTGAGTGGTAATTGTTTGAAGCATCCTTTGAATTGGTGCCTCTGCTCACCTGCTGAACCTGAAGAATCTACAGAGATCACAGTCAGGTCCCCAGTTTTGTGCCCTCAGACAATGCATTTTCCTTATCTTCTGTGGCCATGCCTATGTTAATTTTGAGCCTCTGAGGTTCAGTGTTAGGGGTGGTCCAGGATCAAGGAGAGAGGATTCTACCCCAGGGCTATGCTCACCTGTGAGTCTGGGCAGAAGAGTCACTAACAGGAGGAGACCAGAAGGCTGGAGTTGGGAGGCAGAGACAGGCATTGTGGAGCCTCAAAAGAGTTCTCTTCAAGTGTCTGTGTCAGGAAAATGTCAGTCTGAGCTCTTGGAAATTAGTCACCCTGGCCCCCTCCCTAAAAGAAGAAGTGGCTCTGTTGTAATGAGATAGAAACCTGCTTCAAAATTGCAAAATTGAAATTAGGCCACACAGGCAGCTGTAAGGCAGGAAGTTCCTCAGGGTGAAATTGAATAGAGGACTGGACAAGCCTACCAGAAACAATGCTTTCTCACTGCCTTGTGGCTGCTCTGGCTCCACGTGACCTTTCCTGCCTTCTTGAAATGTTGATTCCCCATTTGGGAGCCACAGGCTAAGAAGTATGTGTTTCAAACTCTCAAACTGGAAACATCCTGATTTAGTTCACAAGCTCAGATATTGGCTACTGGGGCATCATTAAGACAGGATGGAGTCAAATTTACACCTTCTAGGATTTTCCATTTGCATAAAGAGATGGCTTCCCATTTAAAGACTCTTGTATGATGCCAGGTTTTCAGAGGAGTTTCACCTTTGCCAGGACTATTGTATATAGGAACATCCTCTAAAGATTAACTACGCCAACAATAATAGGAAGTTAGAGCCTGTTGGAATGATGCAGTTCATCATTGCTCACCGTGTAGCTCGATGGGCTTTCACTACTTTCCATTCCCAAACCACCCTGTTTAATCAGCAATCATATATTGCCAAAATACAGTTCAGTAGCATTTTGAAAGGATTATAGACCAAAAGTGGTTGCATCACCCTTGAGAAAAGCTACAACATTTGTTATTACGTCCCTAAAGGGCCTTTTCTGTGTTTCAAAGATGCTTGCCAAGTTAAAGGTACATTTTAAGCAAATAGCAACTAGAATACCTGGATGCAGTTACCAGAAGGACACTGGGGACTGGACAAAGTAGTTTTAGCTATAAAAAATGACTTCCTGCTCATATGATAGATTGTCCCTTTCTTGGAATTCTGAAGATACTATGTCATAAAGAAAGCTAGTGATATCACTTTAGTGTAGCTTTTTCTATAAAACCTCCTCCCCTCAATAGCTGAATATGGAACAGAGCACAGTGGAGTGGAGTTGTCTAATTGGCCACCACTGGACACTTTGAGTTCTCTCTGGTGATTTCCCTGTTTGATCCACTACCACTAGACATTTTTAAGAACTCCCGTCTGGCCTGTGGCCATTGAACATTCCCAATATAGTGTGGTGGCTTTCCTGGCCATATTGTTTCCAGTAGATTTTATCATTTTCTGCTGGTAGTTCTCAACTAACCATATCCTTTCCTGTTGATACTTTAATAAATCTGTCTTTCATACATGATTTCCATCTGTTCATCTTCCTTATGAGACAGAGGAGGGTATCCTACCTCTCCCATTTGGCCCTCCTGTTGGCTGGAAGGGCATTATATGCCCAGTGGCCCTGAACCTCTTTTTCCTCACTTCTCTCACCAGTGCACAGGACCACTATCCTTGGTGTCCTCCCTGATTGTTTATTGATAACTCTCCACTGTGTCTCTCCAACAGAAATAGAATTTGACTGTCAGAAATGATGACTCTGCCCAGCTCTGCTGCTTCAGGTGCTATTGCTGTCTGAAGAAGGTGAGGGGAAGTTTAGAGTAGTCAGATTAGTGAAGGATTGATCTGGGTTCATTGTTAACATTCCCAACTTTCCTTCAGCCCCAGTCAATAGCCAGTCTTTGAAGATTCCCTGATTTGAGCCCTACCAGTATTCTGTAGAGATGTAATAACTGTCACTCAAACAGCTTGCATTGCTCTGCCCATCCATAATCATTTCCATGACAGATTCACCTGATTAGACAAGTCAGAGACCTGTGTTTGGACCAACTAGCAGGCACAAATTTGAACCAATTGCAGTCCTGCACTTGGAACAATCACAGGCCTACAGCTGTTGCATAGTGTAAGTAGTACTTCTACACTCCTTTCCACTTAGTATAAGAGGGTACATGTTGTTGTTAGAATTTTACTAGAGGAACACATGTAACACAAAATACACAAATCTATAAGAAATTATGGGATTGGCTTACAATGGTAAGTCATAATATTAGATGAGGTAGCATGCAGAGAGCATCTGCACACTGACCGCCGAAAGACTGAATCAAAGGTCGACAGTTCACTATAGTATCCCATGCGACCTGGCATCAGGAAGCCAATGGATCTGCAACAAAAGGTCAAAGAGTCTATGCTGAAAGGCTGCAGGATGCAAGGCAGAAGCTAAAGAGTCTGAGCTGGAATCCAAGGGACAATATCCAAGTAGAAGGCAAAAACTGGAGTTCCTCTAGAATAGGCACTTGTCTGTCCATCTTATTTCTTTTATACTGTCTAGGTCATGAGCCATCCCAGGGTGGATCTTCTATACCCTAGTGTGTAGATTTGCCAAGCCAAACAATCCCTCAGATTTCATGTGAGGCACTTTTATTCTTCCAAACACTTGGCAAGGATGGCCTCAAGTTGCATCCATTTACCTATGAAAGTCTCAACTTTATCCTACTTTGTGGCCAAGTAGTACTCCATTGTACAGAAATACCACTATTTTTTTAAAAAATCCATTCCTGGGTTGATGGAAATTTGGTTTTTTTCCAAGATTTGGCTATTACAAATTGTGCTGCTATCAACATGGGTGCACATAAACCCTTTTCTCTGATGTTTTCAATTCTGGTAAAATGCGCAGAGGCAGGATTACTTACTTTGTATTCCGGTAGATCTACTGTTTCTGTTTGAATAATTAGATCTTGGATTTATTTTCACTTTAGTGGAGTGTACGGTGATAGATATGGGTCTACTTTTAGTTTGTGGCATATGGAAAGCCAGTTTTTGCAGCACCACTTATTGTAGAGGCTTTCTTTCAGTGAGCATGGTTGGCTCCTTTGCCAAAGATGAGGTGTCTGAGTGTGCTTGTAGTTGTGGCTGTATCTTCCAGTCTTTTCCATTGATCTTCAGGTCTGTTTTTATTCCAGTACCATGTTGATTTTATCACAGTAGCTTCGTAGTTTAAATTCAAGTCAGGGATTGTGATGGCACCTGCTTTGACCTTGTTGCCCAGCTGACCTTTGTATTTCTAGGTCTCTTCTTGTGGTTCCAGATGTATTTTAGGGATAATTTCTCTAGGTCTGAGAGGTATGAAAATGGTATTTTGATTGGAATTGCATTAAATCTGTATAATAATTTTGGGTGAATGGCCATTTTCACAGTGTTTGTTCTTTCTATCCATAAATAGGGGATTTCTTTCCATTTTCTGAAAATTTTTCATAGTACTATAATTTTCAATACATCTTTTACTTCCTTTGTTAGATTAATTCTTAAGTATTTCATTTTTGGGGATGCTATAGTGAAGGATGTGGTTTCCCTTATTTTCCCTCAGTGAGTTGGTTGTTTGTGAATATGAATGCTATTAATTTTTGAGTGCTGATCTTGTTTCCAGGTACATTACTGAATTAGGTTTTTAAATCTTAGAAGTCTTTCAATGGAGTTTTGGGCGTCTTCTTTGTAGAGAATTATGTCATCTGAAAATAATGATAATTTACCTTTTTTCCCTATCCTTATTTATTTTATTTCTCTCTCTTATTTAATAGCTCTGGCTAGTATTTCCAGTACCATATTGAGTAGGGGAGGTAATATTTGATGTCCATGTCTTGTTCCTGGTTTTAAGTTGAAAGTTTTTTATTTTTTGTCCATTTATAAAGATGTTGGCTGTTGGTTTATCATATATGATTTTTATCAGATTGAAGTAAAGACCAGCTCTTCTGATTTTCCACAGATTTTAATTATGAATGAGTGTTGGATTTAGTTGAAAGCTTTTTCTGCATCTAATAACATGATCATGTGATTCTTGTTTTGGCTGTATTGATATGGTTTATTATGTTTATTGATTTGCATAATCTGAACCTTTCTTACATTCCTGGGATGAATCCCGCTTGATCATGATGCATAATCTTCTTGATGAATTGTTACATTCTATATGCCAGTATTTAATTGAGGATTTTTGCATCTATGTTCACTAAGGAGACTGGCCTATAATTCTCTTTTTTGGCTGGGTCTTTCACTGGTTTTGGTATTAGGGTAACACTTGCTTCCAGGAATGAGTCAGGCAGACTTGCTTCCCTTTCAATTTCATTGAAGAGCTGGAGGAGTGTTGACATTAAGTCTTCCCAAAATTTCTCATAGAATTCAACAGTGACTCCGTTAGGATCTGGGCTTTTCTTTGTTGGTAAGGTTAAAAATTACATTTTCAATTTCATTCACTGAAATTGGGTTATTTAGCAGTTCTACATCTTCTTGATCCAACTTTGTAATTCTTATGTTTCTAAGAATGTGCCCATTTCTTCTGTGTTATCGAACCTATGAGAGTAAATGTTTTTAAAGTTGGCATTGATGATCTTTGGTGTTTCCACGGGGGTCTGTAGTAATTTCATCCTTTTCTTTCCTTATTGCATGATTTGAATTTTTTCTTTCTTCCTTCTGGTAATGTTGGCTAGGGGTTTATCAATTTTATCTATTCTTTCAAGAACTAATTCTTCAATTCATTAATTCTTTATATTGTTTTCTTAGTTTTAATTGCTTTAATTTCTGCTCTGATCCTTATTATTTCCTCCCTTCTTTTGGCTTTTGGATTGACTTATTGTTTTTTTTCTAAATGTTTGAGATCCAGGATTACATTGTTGATCTGTGTTCATTCACTTTTCCTGATGTCGTAGTTTACCACTATAAAATTCCTTCTGAGGAATGTTTTCATTATGTCCCACAGGTTCCAGTAAGTTGTATTTGCATTTTCATTTTATTGTAGATGTTGTTTAATTTATTCTTTAATTTATTTTGTGATCCACTGGTTGTTTAGGAGACTGTGATTTTATTTCCATGTTTTTATGAGGTTCTGGTTGGGGGTTTTGTCATTAATTTGCAATTTATTGCACTATGGTCAAGCGATATCTGTGGGATTACTTCAATTCCTTTGCATTTGTTTAAGCATATTCTGTGGGCTAATAGATGATCTACTTTAGAGAATGACCCATGTGCAGGTTGGGACTTCAAAACAAAATAATAGGAAATCAAT